TTTTAGTTCCTATTGGTTTATATAAAACAATACTTCAGTAATATCTATTTGAAATCAGCGTTTAACGTTTTCAGATATATTTTTAAAAACTAACTGTAGTTTAGTACTTTAATTTTTTGAATATTTGATTACCGACAAGTATTGAAAATGACAATGGAACCCGGTTAAGGTAAACATAATATATTATGCTGTGATAAAATATAATAAAATACATTTTCCGTGGAATAATAACAGTTATAATTAATCGGCCTTCCATTCTAAAATCACGCGCAAACAAACATGGTAATTTAGGTCGCCTCATATTAAGATCGTTTAAATTTAATGACGGCTTAACTCGTATCGTGAAAACGTAGTAAATGTATGCTACCACGATATTCCGGTACAAACGTATTTTTATGTACTATCAACTGTTGCGGGTTTCGGAAATGATCGGTCGTCGGGGTTGGTGCTATAGAGCAACGCAGTACATACGGATTTAAATAAAGTTAATTCATAAATGGAATGCGAATGTGAAAAATGATCGCTCGTCGATCGCGCGCGTGCACATTGAATTGCGGTATTTATCGCCGTCCCGGGGGTACGGTAACCGACATTAATCTGAACTAAAGGATGGATCGTGCGATGTTCGAAGGTACTGCGCGGATATTAATTAATGATGCCGCTCGGCTCGCCGTCGTCTTGACATACCGCCGCGTATATTCGTCGTCCAATGTCACGAGACGGGTTGATAGTTATTATGAGATTATCGGCTTGAGCGAATCGTATTCATTTGTACGGGCCATGTCACTATACGTTAACTTCTTATTAAAGTAATCTTTGAATCCACGAATCATAGAGTATTATTCCAGTAATTAAATATATTTATTTTTTTCGTGCGTTTACTTCAATAACTTCCGCGCACATAGTTTGTGTGTACGACCAGGAAGTCTATAACAACGCGAACCACGAGAACCGCGAATCTACATATTATACACTCGCCTGCGTTGCACTACAAACGCTTAGTTTGCAACAAAATTTGTAGGCAACTGCCCGGTGAACATGTTTGAAATATAATATCGCAACTCTTATCATGATACACAGATCTTGACATTTTTAAACGTACTCGTATCCGGAATGTGTATCCACGAGCGAATATAGACCAAGATACACGGGAGGGAGATGTTTAGAATTCAAAGGACGCGCGTTTAAGATAACACGTTACCTGCGGTTTGTATCTGTTTACTATTAATTAATTTTGAAAAAAATTTTAAACCGTGGCTGGTACATCCGAGTACGTCTAAAGCGTTCAAAGAGCCTCGAATAATAATGGTTTTATTTTTACTATTATTAGTTTTTATTTTTTTTTTTTTTGAAAAACAAAGAGAGAAGGATTGCCCCTCTTCTCTAAACCCACCTCTAAGTCTATATGACACCGGAACATTTGAAGGGCTGCGAATCGTATCAACGCAGCCCCACGTTTACGTGTGCGACCCGCGACCGGGGGTGACGCTGACGAACCTTTGAGTACGTCTGTCGCGTTACACACCACGTTCCGATTTAGCGACACGTTATCGCACGAGTGCTTTATGATATGCGTGGTTAACGAGTCACGCGCGTACGATTCTACGGTCTCCGGAAATGCCGCAGTTTCCGCCCGAACGACCTCGTTTTCAAAAAAAAAAGAAAAAAAAACGTTCATCGTCAAACGATTCCGTTGCAACGGTGTGGCTATGAGATATCTCGTTCAACTTGCTTGTGTAATTATAATGATCAAATAAAAACACAACTTTTGCTGCGGCGGGACAGGTTTGCAGTTCGTTGCGAACAATAACGCCGTTAATCACTATCGTTATCATTTCCATATCATTATTACTATTATTATTATGATTATTATTATTATTATTATCGTCATTAATTGTAACCGCCATCGGTGCGCGCGACCCGCGACGGCGACAGGAAGACAATATGACAATATACGACGTTGATCGGACATGGTTTTTGTAGAACATTTATAACGTTGTATTTATAATGTTTCTACAACCCTGTGCTTCCTGCCGACGGCATTCGCGCTTTGATGTCGAATAATTTCCATTCCGAAGCCGGTCGCGCTCAACGCACCGCGAACTCCGTATGTACGCGCGTGGGTAATAAAGTGGCGGGGAACGCGCGCTTTGAGTCCCGGCGCGCAATCGATTTCCCGACTGCGCCCGTGTCCGGGAATCGCGTTCGTACTCCGTTTGTGTTTTTATTTTCATTTCTATTTTTTTCAACTGGAAATTTTCTTTAACCCCCCCCCCCCCTTCCCGTTCACCGGGACCCGTCCGTCGCGTTGATCATCGAGACGTACGACGACTTTCTGTGATGTTCGAGCCCGCGGATCTCGTGGTGGACGAGGGAACTACGTGAAATGTTAGAACGCAACCGCGGTATTACATTATATGAGCTTTGACGAGATATCGAGTTTTGTATTATTATCGTAAGAATCGCAACGAAAAAATAGTCCGAGAGGTTTTGAATTGGTTGAGGTCCACTATTCCGGAGACCGATGCTTTGAAGGCTTAAAACGCGTACACATTTTGTACATATTATTTTTAAAGCGTTTCTGCTTAATAATTTTCCTGGTAGAAAGGGTTCAAATCGATTTTATTTTATTCCTGCGAAAAATAACATACCTTATCCATATACTCTGTGTAAAAGGCGATAACGTTAACCTTTGTGCAAAAGTACACGTTAATAATTTTTTCTGTAAACGATTGATGAATGCCTATCTCTTATCTCAGACCAAATTTAAAACCTAAAATGTGCGTTGTGAGTGTCAAAATAGTCAAAATTGTTTTTCAATGTTTCTATTTTAGTTCGATGATTTATATATGTTATTCATATTCCATTCTAACCACGTGTACTTAATGCTTTAGTTATATGCACCAAAGTGTTGTGCATCTATTTCATAAGCATATGTATGCTCACATTTTTTGGAACGAAATATAAAGTTCTTACTCGACTAACAATATTTTTCATCGATTTTGGCAAAGTAAATACTACGTATATGCTACACTATATACACAATGTACAATTATCGTGAAACATTTTTCCAAATTTATTCTGTTGAAAAGTAGCATCTAGTTCTTACTTTGATTTACCGAACGCTTAAAGACTCATTCGTTACGCAAAAGTATTGCCCGTGTAACTAAATTAATCCAACTTCGTTACTCGTTAGTATAATCGCTAAAAATTGTTTACCGTGCAAAAGAACTAAAAACAAAAGTTTTGAATGAAAAAGAGAAAGAATTAAGCTCAGAGCTACTCATAAAGTAAAGGGAGAAAAATCCATAATAAATTTGAATACTTTATAGAATTTATAAAAAAAAAAAAATTAACTAGGTATTAAGTAATACTCATTTGAATAATACTACAGAGCCGCCAAGTCTGTGAACTTTATTTAATTTTTTTGTTTGTTTTTTCTTATGTACACACCTATATGTTTTAAATTTTATTCAGTAGGCATTTCACGGTAAAATGAAATATCACTATGATTTAGTTTTCAGTGCACGGCCAAAAGAATCCAATATAACTTAACTCGGATAACATTTTGAAATGTCAGAATAAAATTAATTTATAGTTTGCGGAGAAAAAAAAATCAAATAACAAATGACAGAAATACACCGTTGGGTAAATAACGAAATGAAATGTTGATTTAAATTATATGGTGAATGATTGCTAAATTTATCACAATGTAATAAAATTTTAAATTAACAAGAGCAATATATTCAAAAGACAAAATATGTACATTTCCAAAATGTTTTGATAGATACGTAGTTTTTTTTCCAATTTTTCTACAAAATTGGATTGCGGAAAAGTAATAATTATAAAATGCGTTGTATGGTATTAATTTTGTTTTTTTTAAATTATGCTTAATAAAAATGTGTACATAATTTTATTAGACGATAATAATACTGATAATAATAATAATAATAATAATAATAATAATAATACATCATACTGTCGTGTTGATTATTTATTTTATTATTATTGAGTCGCTCATAAATTAACACATTTCTGTGTTAAATTTAATTGTTATTATAGTTTACAATCGAATATTTCACATTTTTTTTCTTTACATGAAATTGAACTATAGACTTCGTGTACCGGAAATCATGAAAAAACATTGAGTGTTCTTAATTCAGACGTATATAAATTGTTCCACCGTTACTGCAGGTACATGGTTTGTCAAGTAAAACTATCGAATATTTAACATACTATGTAAGTTATGTAATTAAATCGACCGGGAGAGTGTTTTATTTCAATTTTTTAATACTTGACGACTTTCTAAATACCAATGTGATATTATTTGGAGTATACAATTGTGTTATTTTGTTAACTACTAAAGGAGGGTGTCATATTAACAGTAAAATATTTTTTAGAATACAAGAACCGCACATGAGTGTGTCTTGAACTAAATAAAAAGATTGGAAAAATATGACAAATCCGTAGTGTATCGTACATGGGATAAGTGCGGAGTACACGTTAATACAGAAGTGGTACATAAGGAAAAAACTGCACAAATTTTTGGCAATTTTATAGTGACGTGGTAATAGCTATGAAACTATCTGGTCATAAAAAATATATATTTACATAAAAACTATGTTATAAGAAAAAAAGGAAATCATCGGTAAACCAAAATGGAAATGAGATTACGGGCACTTATTTCACATCGGCACACGGCATTTTTAAATTGTAATTAAAATCTCCTGGGAATAAAGTATAATCGATGCACCAACCATGCTGTCGGATCCAGTAGTTAATGTGTTACGTGGCTCGACTGTTTCCGAAACGATCCAAACGTACAGCCAATATGAAAAGTCGTGCGAGCCACTGTGAATCACAAACTATTGTTATAAGTTTTAGTCGTGTGTACGTACCGACGAATGTTTTTAAACAGTAATACATTTTTACATTCACAACGGACTGACAAATGTTACGATGAAAGAAGTACAAGACCAATGCATAAATGTATAAGTATTTTATTACAATATTACAAGATATATACGATGCATTACGATTATTGTTTAACCATGTCGCGTAAGCACGTCTCGCCCGCGTTTAACAATATTCCGTCGGTGCACGAGGAGAATTGTGACAAATTGACAAAGGACCATGTGAACAAAACAATAAAAAGGACGGTAATAATAAAAAAAACAAATGACAAATTGGGCGTGTGTACGGATATAATTCAACGAGCTAGCCCGCGAAGTGTACATTATTAAAATTCGAGTTTTCGTAAGATAAAATAATAAAATAAAAACAAAAAACCGAACGACATTGGTGTGAAACTATTGTTGGTGGAATAATAGACGTGTGCGAGCGTTTTATCATAAATTATTAGTATAAATAGTTCGTTTTCCGCTTTATTTTATTTTCCCTGTTTGCACCGACGACGTATGTGATTGTAAATACATGCAATATTATAATAACTTGACATAGTAATATTTATTGTTGTATTAATTTTTAAACGATAATGTTAATATATTTATTTAAGTATAATTGTAAGATGAATTGTAATTTGTAAGAATTTCGCATGCGGTGCGAAACTACAACTAAGTTCTCTAAATGTCTCATATTTAGTTAATTATAAGTTGAATTTTCATTGGAGATGGGGGGGGACTTTAACTGTTTGCAATTCAGTAACTGGATAACTCTTCGTAGTTTGTCCGGCCGGAGTTGGCGGTACGGTCTGCTGGCGCACTCTGACCTGCTTGAGGGGGTTCAGTGGTCCCACTCTGGGGGGACAACACTTGACGTTGTACGCATGGCAATGTCTACTTACGGCCATAGCTAGATCCGGGTCTGTGAAGTGACGACAGTATTCCTCCATCATGCAAATTCCCGGTTGACCGGTACTGATGGGACATTTTTCGCCTGAAAATAAACAATACTACAGCATAAATTGCGATTCATAACATAGCGCTCGATTCAGTAACGATACGAAATCGATACGTGGTATACAGATGAAGAAATAAATCTTATATCAAACGCGTGTCGCATGAGGAATCGGCCTCAAATATTCTCCAAGTCTATCCCTCCCACCCCGCCCTCTTTCCGAGCCGATCACCATTCGTAACTGAGGAAGAGAAAAAATGATTGGCTCTGTACACCACAACAATGACGGTTCACACACGATTTATACTTAAATAGGTAAGTTAAAAAAAAAATAATAAAAAAATTGTTTAATCCCAGTCTCTTTCGATGAAACTTAGAGAATACAAATTTAAAGTAAACAAAATCATCGGAGCGCTGTATTACAACGTTTTAGTGTCTACCGAAAAGAAGTTACCGGAGAAGCGGCCGCATATCGCCGGACTGCGAACATTCTGATCGCCAGGAAACTTATTGTACCGATGAGAAAATATGTACACCCTTGTATGCCGATCTATTTTGTGAATTTAAGTTCACCAAATCGAAATGAGTTCAAAATCTGATCCAAAAAGCTTTTATACGTATCTTTACTACATTATTTTACTATTTATATACACTGCTCAACACATACTTTACACCCGACGTTTGAATGTATTACAGTCGTTATAAATGGTTTTCCACTACAAAGAGCATTCCGCATTTTATTTTTTACACTTTTAGATCCTTCGGGAAAGTGTCAGCAAACTTAAAAATGATTTCAAGTGCAGCAAGTACGTTTGAAAAACTATGAAAGTATTACTCATGAGTACCTTTACCCAGTGCCATTAATTAAATTTGGAAAACTCTTGAATTCAAACTAACCACAAAAAGCTTATTCAGGGATAGGTACACATTTCATAATATTGGGACGATCGTTTTCTAATATTTATGCACGTTATATTTCGAATGTTAATTAGAATTTGTAAACTGTCTATATGTTCGAATTCGATTTATCATACAATACTTTACTAGTATTGTACGTATTAAATAATTGTGCGACGAATTAATGGTTAAGAAAATAGAACAGTGAATAATATACCCGAAGTGGAAAACGTTGTAAAGTAAATTTATTTTGTTTTTATATTAAATACGAATCGTCAGTAATTTTTGACTCGAAGTGTATCGGACTGTTCGGTTTTCAGCGGTATTACGAGTTTTCGAAATGACTGCGAGAGATGTGTGCGTTTTATTGTGAAATCAAACAGCAAACCGATGAATAATACTTGACAGTTCGGGATTAATATGTGTTTTATATACTTATCCGTCACTGGGACGGGCCTAGCCGCTGTGACCTTGTCCTTCCTCATACCGATAAAAAAATTACCGGTCGACGAAAGTTCCATTTTATCATAGCGACTTGGTGAAATATTTATTGGCGGCAGAGCTGCCCTGTTTGATTGCACACCGTGAAATACGCAAAAAGTGGGAAGTATAGGTTCTTAGTTCACTCGACGTGTAAAAACGCATTGACTAGTCTTGGCGCGTTAATATCGCATTGACTAAATGTGATATGTAACTATAATAATAATAACAATTATGAAACTATATCATATTTACGTTGAATGTCTTTATTGTTATTTAACCTCTTCTCCAATATCCATCACCATCAATCTTAATAGTAACACTACGTTTAAGCGCAAGTACATAATATATATTTTATTTGTTATTTTCTCTACTAGAAACCTGTATTTTTTCTACTGTATTTTCTCGCTACACAACACATTTATTTCATAAAGACTTGTCACGTACATCGGCGGCGCAACTGCTACACAACACCAGAAAATGTATCACACTAGCATAATATCGATGGTGTTTTTTATATGTTTATGTATATGTTTTTTAAGGGCGTATACCACACAATTGAAATTTTTCATGAGGAACAAAATAGTATTTTTAAAAACGATGTCGTTGAAATCAGCCGATCTTGGACTTACCGTCAATATCATTTATAATATAAATGATAGATATTATCTATACTACTTAAATTATCAATACCAATTGCATTAAAAAAATGTTCAGTTTTAATTGAATCTTTTATGATTGTTAAAGATGTAATAATTAAATTTAATATATTTTTACTTCTTGGCGAGTACGCCAAGTTTAAATTAAAATATCAACATTAATTTAAAATCTAAAAACTTAAACAAAATACAAATATATTATATATTAATTGTGATATGTACATAGTCATTAATATTATAATTATTATTTTAAAACAATGTATTATTGATAACGATTAATAGTGATTATTTTGTATGATTTTCGTTCCAAATTACTATCAATTAAATAATGAAATAAACTATTATCAATTATTGATCAACTAAAGTTTAGTTAACTGTTGCATAATTATATATTTAATAATAAAAATACAATTTTAAATTTAAAAAAAAAACGCGAAAATTCAAGTGGTATTTGTTTATTTGTATTATAGGTTTATTTGAGAAAATCATCATTAATTCTTGTGGCAAATACCCTTTTAACATTTTCTGTATGAATATATTTTTTTTTCCTTTTATAGCTTTTGGATTTCTTACAACTGATATACAGTGAATAATCCTCAATATTTTTAATTGCCATTTTTACAGATTATGCTCCTATTTTCTCTGAAACTTTTAATACCAAAAACTAATTTTTCGATTTTTTGTTGTTTACGCACTTTTAACAAAACACCATCGTTATGTTAATTTCACTGCTATGAACATTATTATTATTAATACGTGTATAGGGGATCAGAACGTGCTCTACATTTAATGTTTTCAAAGCAAATCAGCTAAATAATAATTCATCCAATGTTACACATTTTCATTTAGATTTTCAACAAATTTGACAAACATTTTAATTTAATAATATTTTATCTAAATGTTCATCGTTACGATCGAAGGAAATGAAATATAGTTACGTGTAATTAACGTAATTCGGAAAATATGAACAATGTGCCGCGGCTTCATTATGGACAATATATCAAGTTTATCACATACACCTTTCAACGCGTTAAAAGCAGTGGCGTAAAAATCGAGAAGGAAGCAAAATGAGCAAAAGCCGCGTGCTCAGAGCTAAAAGAGGGCCTCAGAAATTTATTAAATATTCGTAATAATGGTATAAATTAAAGGTAAAAAAAAGTATTATTTAAAACTATATATTTTTGTTAATAAAAATGTATTTAAAATGCAATTCAATTTACAAATCTTATTTTTTTATTTAATACCCTAACTTCTCAGTCCTTAATAAAAATATGAATTTTAAAATCATGTAACTAACTGTCACTTATTACTATAGCAAACCTATTAATCTGTTTTATATCTTAAATAAACTATAATAAATTATTAACACATTAATTAAGCAAACAAAAAATTCCTTAGTAGAATTATTTTTTATATTGAAACTCAACTTTTTTTTTCATATAAGTGGCCAATTTTAATTGTTATAATTAAAACACGTATTATTTTTTCGCCGCAAAAGAATGGTATTGGGTCAAATATTCTCTGTAAATAATAATACAGGAACTAATGACACTAGTTGTGCTACTCATTCAATTGATTCCAAACGAATCGCATCGGAAAAATCTCAACAAAAATGAAAAGTTTTTTGCATTACAAAATTACTTCCCAGAAAAAATGTTGGGAAAAGTACCTACCACATATTTCTTCGCATTCATCTTTTGTCAGCGGAAGATCTAAGTTTTCTTCGCAGTGTCTGATTCCACCGGGAGAAAACATGGGACGGCAAGACTTGAACGGTGCATGATAGAACCACCCTGATAAGGTGTAGTTAAAAATAGGATACAATGAAACTTTGCATCTGCTTATGTGCATATTAAAATAATGACACCTTGGATCTGTAAAAATAAAACAAAACCAATTATTTTCATTTGATTATAGTGTAGTAATTAATAATATGTAAATACATGTGATATGAGTCTGTGTACTTTTAGATCGAACCCCGATTTCTATTATATTTTAAATTATACATAAAAAATCTCGATGAATTATAAAAGTCAAAACGATAGTAACGACCTTTGTCACCTTTGCCACTTAAGTGTGCGCCACAAAGCAACTATGTAATAATTAATCGTTATCATTATATTTACAAAACACATATTAAGTGATATTATTCAAAATTGGTTATGTGGGATTAAACTTACAACATGTATCGACGTAAAATTTAACATCCAACATTGCTATGTACGGGTATAAATGAATTGGAAAGTTAAGTTCCTAATTACAACTATAGGTATACTACTCTTGGACTAATTAATAATTATTTAAATTATTAATTATACGTAGATAATGTATGTAAAAGGTGATAACAGTTTTGAAAAAAAATGATTTTGGTAAACGCAAAAGAAAAGAATCAAAACGAATATCATTTGTATTCTAAAACTGATTGTCCTACGTCAAATACATACACAGTTGAGTCACGTTAACTTGAAAAATTTGACAACTCGAATTTTTCCCTTTATTTCCCTTAATATTCCTGTAATATTCGATATAATTTTAGTCTCATTATCTTGAGTATAAAATTATGACAAATTGCATAGTTGAAGTGTATCTGGGTGTTTCTACAAACAACAGTCAATTGCTTCAAAGAAATTTGTCTTTTATACTTGAAACAATAAGCAAATTATTAGATTTTATTAATTAATAGCCGAAACATAAAAAATTATTTTTTACCATATACAGTAAATAATAATTATAACATCATTGTTCTTTTTTTAGTTTTTTATAGTATATATTTGTCATAATATTTTTATTCTTATTTTATTTTTTAGTGTAATTTTATTAAATAAAACAACATGATAAATAAAACAATTTAAATTATACTTCACTATGTAACCCAAAATATTGAATTAATTTTAATAAATTTGAGTTTGGTATTTCGAAGCGATTCTTATCCCCCTTCAAGTTTGAGTTAAACACGACTCAACTATATCGCCCATCAGTATATATATATATATAAAATTCCACAAATGAGTATTACATCCGGTGACAGTTTTATTACTTGGGGATGTTTTTGAATACATATACATATATACATTATTGGTTTTATTTTCGTAATTGTTTTCGGAAGAGGAACCAGCGAAAGTACACTTTTTAAGCCGGATTTTTGCCGCATTTAATCCTTGAATCAAAACGTTTGTGTATAATGTATACCGTTAGACGTAAGCCTAATGTTTCCGCTGAAATCTACGTCGAGTGTAATTTATTGTCTATACATTTCCCTCGCATCCGTTACCGCCTGTCTACTCTAAATTCTGTTTCTAACCAAATATTATGTGCAGTGGCTGTTAAAAAAAAATTAAATTAAATAAAATATCGCAAATAATTTAACTGTAAAAAGATTAAATAAATATCAAAAATTGCCATTCTGGGAGACGAGAACGCGAATACGTATTCAGATGACCTTAAAATATTAAATTTGGAACAATACATAATGCACGAATATACGTAGACAAACCCTCGGGAACTCGGACCTTTGTACATTTTTTCGATTCCATAAATATTATTCAGACGTATTATATACATTATACATTTCATTTTAGAAATTCCTATTAATAATACATAATACGATATAATATACTATTATTCATTGTACACGAACACTAAATTACGGATGCAAAATATACATATAATATTTTACCGAGCAACAAATATTTTGATGAAATATTATTCGTATTATCGGTACATAAACTATTATATATATATATTATATATATATTATATTATATATTTATACATCATAGTTTATCGTACGATTAGATTGTAAGAAAATAAAAAGAAAAAATTTTAAAAAATTGCTTTGTTCGTTCTCTTCTACAAAATAAAAATAAACTATCCGTTCGGTCAAATGACAACTTTTGAAGCCAAAATTAGTTTTAACGAGTTAGTAGTGGTCATGCATACGTTTGCAAAAACGGTAGTTTGATAACTAATAAATGTTCGGCGAAAACGGACACGACGGAACATATGAACCGAACGCGTCTTAGCTCGATCGTCGCAAACAAACGGCGGAGTTGCCGTCATCTTGAGCTGCCGGTTGACCATCCGTCGGAGTGAACCCAAATACAATAATAATAATAACAATAATAGTGTTCGTCGTAAGCCGCGAGAATCCGTAAAACGCAATATTATGCGTTATTTTATCTACAAGTGGCGGGACCGACGACCGCGGACGGGCCAAAAGTCATTTCGATCCGTCTGATCCGGCAGCGGCGCGTTATCGCCGCGGCATGGGCAACGACGGGGAGACCTGCAGGACGTAAATCAAAAAGGGTGCGAGTTATTTTACTTCTTTGCCGACACTATCGTTTCGAAGGACATTCGAGACGTCCATAAAATTGGTCCATAAAATACGAAAACGTAAGTGAACGTGCTTGTAGGTATATATTTATACATCGGTTGCCGTGGCGCGGCGGCGGAAGACCATTAAAACTTTAATGTTTCAAAAGACTACGGGAGCTTCTTAACTCCCAAAAGCCTTTTTTTTTCTTTTTTTTCGTTCCTCGCCTGCCCTGTTCTCTACGCTAAGGTCGTCCCGGCACTCTTCTTTTTACCGCACCAAATATATTTATACGTGTGCGTGCGTACTTGTGTGTGCTGGCGCTCGCGCGCGCGTGTGTGTGTGTACTTTTCTTTACGCATACCTGCTGTACACGCGGGCGCACGGAGATATAAAACGATGGCGGACGCGCTCTTATATTGCTCACCATATTATATCTACCACTCGAAACCTTCCCCGCTGACTTGCTCCGAAAGTTAATTCACTTGAATAATAATGTAATTCTATACACACAAACACATTGCGGTGGGTTCGTCGCGGTTTTTTCGGCGGTTGTTCGTTTAATCGAGAACCAGGTGCGGTAAAAAAAAAAAAAACTCAAAAAGTCCGCGTTTGGTTTCTTTCGACGAATACACATTTTTTATTATTATTATTATTATTATTATTGTTGTTGTTATTATTATTATTACTATACTCCGTATCCGATCCAATTTGGCAACAATATAAATACATATGTATACGCTCTTGATAAAATATTTCATGATAGCGTTTCACACATAAATAAACGAACTTTTTCACCGAGTATTTTGTTAGAATAATTCTTATCCGTATTCGAACATAATTTTAGTAATGTGTTTCGACCATGAACTGATGACGCGTTGAGATATAAGTCATTCGTTATCTTTTACGTCACATGCGTTCGATAGATAATATAGTTTTCAGTTGACCGTGACTCTATGCAACACTCCTCACGCGCGAAACAAAATATTTTTCATAACAATAATAAAACCGACAAGACGCAATGATATCACGTGCACCCGAGATCATTATCGTTAGAACCAAAACGTTATAAAACATTATAAATCGCGCTGCATATTACCTGTGTACTAATAACACGTACAGTACGCTACTGTATACTGCGGTATCGGAGAACCGAAACGGAAACCGTGTGAACATTGTGCTAAACCATTGGTTGTCGTGCGATTGTAATGTTAACGTTATTTTATCGTACCTATTACAATATTACAGCGGTGTACTCGTAACGGAATTTCGGAAATGCTATGGCGGGAATTCGCGAGGTTTCGATTTCCATACATACGTGTACAACGATTATTGCGATCGTAAAAGACTACGAGCTGGTGGTGCACACACTACGCGTCTTGTAATATGCATAGAGACTACTCGTGACGAATAAAAAAATACAAATTAAAACAAACACGGCGGACCGCATTGACGCGTTATTGTTGTTATTGTATTGTTTACAGCACGTGCAGTGTTTGTCGGCGGTTTAGCGAATGAATGTTGCTGTAAATAATCGTTTTTATTCACCGTTGCAGTGCACCGACCGCTGCGTATTTTCAGCTAATTGTAATTTTTTTACAGGGCTGCCGTCATGTTATGATGTATTCTGGGTTTGTCACATGTGGTTTATAGTCGTATGTACGATTAAAAAATGTTTTTTTTTTTTTGTTTTCATAAATTAACTATAATGCGAATATTAAGAAACTATAAATCATATATGTATATATATATATATATATATATATATATAAAGGAATATTATTATTTTCCAGTAATTTATAATGAACACATTGTCAAAAAAAAATTAAAAAAGTTACACAACCAAACGATGTCGTTCTTTCAATTCGCTTTATTATCCTAAGCATTTTACAAACTACATGGAATATGAAGTGAGTTCTAAAATATTTCGTTTAAATGTATTGCGTATTACATGACTGTATACAAAATAATTATATCTGTACATATACACCACGAAAAATATTCTTCTAATATTTTTCTTTTTTTCTTTCGACCATCCAGTTAGTACGTACGTGTGTCTTGTTATCAAAATATATTTGAGTAAAAACTGTTTTACTCATTGATAAAAAATATTAACAAAAATATACATAAACGACAGAATAAATTAAAAGCATTAAACTCGGATGTAAAAATACGTGTTGTTAAATTTAATTATAATCAAAAACGGATATTTTTCGAATCAGTTGTTAAGAAGGGACTTGGGGAGAATCTTCATACCGATATCAATCGGCAATAAACGTGCATACAACTACGTAAAACAGGGAATTCTTCCACATCTGTGAAAATGTCCGAATTGAAACGAACGTACATAGATAATATAACGTTAGACGAATAAAATGATTACATGTTATTGAATCGTTGATGCTTCGGTACGGAAATGAACGCAGGACCACCAATAGTCGTCGTTCGCTAAACGCACAGTTTTCATCTGCGGCAAATTCCCAAGCCAATAGCTTCACGAGTGGGCGGGATACTTTGATAATTTCCCCGGGGACTATTTTTCGATTAGGCACTGTTACTAGAATAATACTCCCGTACGGTCGTCGGGAAGGAGAGGAAAAAAATAAAAATAAAATGGAAAAATTATGCTCGCGTATATATGTGTAATAATAATATGTACGCACGCGCGTAGTTGAACGCGCCAAAGACCGACCACGTAGGGAAACCGTCGGCAACCCGTACGCAGTGTGGTCTCACCGATCGTCGGGGTGGATTGATCGTACGGATTCGTAAAGAACGTTTAACCGCACGCGTTTTAATTGGTTCGAAGATGTTTGGCTCGCGAAGATATAGACCGTACGAGTCAACGGTAGAACAGTAATAATCGTAACGATATTATGGCGCGGGCAACATTTTGGAAATACAAAAAAACCGTCACGAGGGGTGTACTCTACGTCGGATTCATCATGCTTCCGCAGCGTATGCACACGTTTCCTGGGCGAAGACACGAGATCTTGGTACACCGTTTCCGAACAGTCTCGACGATTGATCGAAACAGTTCATCGTCCGTTGACGCTGCAGTGAGGAGTTCGAACGGGGTGCGAACGAGCGTGACATCGTTAGACGTTTCTCGCATTTCCGGCACTGCGTTTATGTGCATGCGACACGGTTAAATCGTATAAAATGATCGTTCGTCGTTATATTTCCGACCCAATCAAACGAAACGTGTACGTTGGTGCAGTGTTGCGTGCCAGCGATTGTCTGATGCAAATAAAACGCATACGATACGGAACACGTAATATATTACGGTGATGTTATCGCGGAGGAAAAAGAAAAAAAATAAATTGCGCGACGTTACAACACGCAGCAATGCGACGATGGTAGGACGCGTGTGGGATGGACGAAAGACATGCGGTATGATAACATTTTCTAGGACGCGATGCCGGGCCAGGACGCGTCGTGTTCGAGTGCTTTCGAAGATTTGGCGAACGTCTCCCGAGCGAGCAATTAACGTGCCCGTGTGTAAGTGCGCGTTCTTCATAACACGTGCAATACGCGGACGGTGCAAGAGCAAATTGAGTGCCCTATCTAAACGATCCCGGAGGGGTTCGGGGTTTTTCAAAAGTTTTTGATTTCTCTCGAACGCGTTCGTCCCTACGACCGAACGGGGACAGATGTTGCATATTTATTGTGCGACACACGTTTTCGGCGCAGTGGCGTGTTTCGATCGAAAATTTAAGAATTCTTCGCAGTTGAAAACACCAAAGACAAGCGGCCGATAAACACACGGCGCGCAGGTTTCTTCCTCGTACCATTTTTTGTTATTTTTTTTTTTATATTTATAAAGAATTCATTTTTCAAAATATACTTACACGACCAGTGTTGATGTCAAACAAATTAAAACATGCAAATAACGGACAGCCAAATAGTTTTACGTGGATTTAGGAAGAGTCGAAATATATTCAAGTAATGTTTTACTCTCATTAACAAACATTTTTTTTTTATAAAAGTAAATCAAAAAAACCCAATCCGATGACGGGTTGCAATACTTATTTAATGGTATAGTTCGACAAGATTCATAATAACCAGTTCACTGCTAAAATTGTATTTTCTACCGGTTGATTTTTTTTCGCACGTTCATCGTCGTTCTCGGTACGAGAGAATACGATATTTTATAGTCATCGAATTACATTCGATCGACCACCCGGTGTAGACGAAATCGGACTGCCAACGATATAGGAAATGGTCGTTACGGTGCGTCTCGTACATTAGAAGAAAAATTGAAATTGCGAACATTTTTGCTCCCTCCCGCCGCCGGTGATATTCAAATCCGTGCACCGCCCATCTAATCCCGGCACAACCGTCCGCACGGTCGTCAACAAACCGTTTCGCGTCAACGCGCGCCTACCTGTTGTGCGTTCGCCCGCGAAATCGGCGCGAAACGTTTCGCGTCCAGCGCGACGTCCCGGTACAACAAATTACCGGTACGATCGACCGTGCTGCGGATTAACTACTTTAAATTACACGATAAACTTTACACCACCACCAGGGATGGAACCAGGAATTTTTACGCCCGGGGAAAATGTTAAAATTACGTACCATCGTGGACCAAGAATAAAATACCCTTCCCTACATTTTTTTTTTAATAATTAGCATACAATCATACTTATAGAGTTTTAAGCACATTATGACTAATAAAGTTAAAAATATCAAACTAGCAGTCAATCGTAGATTTTTATTTACTATGAAAATTACACCCTCTACAATTTTACGTCCGGGGACGAAACCCCGTCTTCCTCTCCCTATTTCCACCCAAGATCACCACCACCCTCCCGTCCGATGGTTAGCATGCCGCAGCTGACCGCATACCTGGTTCGTACGTACGCGTGTACCATGTCGTGCACCGTGCTGGCGCGTTATTACAACGTAACGCACAAAATCCGGTACGAGAGTCACGTGCGTGTGTCGAGGAAAACGTAAAACGAAATATTTCAAACCGCGCGGTGGCGTCGTTAACACGTGTTTAAATGTAATACTGTTCGGCCTGACCGAATCGATCTGCTGTACGCAGTGATACTATGTACACGGTTCCGCGATCGGTTAAACGCACGATACAAGAATTTATTCAACCGCTATTGCTCGGCTATTAGTTTTTGGGTTCTGTTAATGTTACGAATTACTCGGTCTCGTACGGCACATGTTTCAGTATTTAATTTTCCAACAATATTGATAGAGAAAAAAATTGTCGGTATAACGAACCGCACAATGGTCATATATTTCAACGGTAATCATTAAACCCAACGCAAAACATATTTCTTAAACAACCGAAAAGTTAAAAAATTTATATCTCAAAACTGTTTTAAAAATGCGGTTTTCCAAGAATGGAAACCCTATATCGAATTTCAAGTTCATACGTTTTATCGTTTTCGAGATGTAGCAATTAGTGGTAATCAAATCTTATGTAATTCTTAGATTATACCTATTTTATAATATATGATTCAATAAATTTTTTTTGGAAAACATTCGGATTGTTTAATTTTTGATGAGCTGAAAATGCAGTACAGTGTTTGTGCATACAAATATGCGAATTAAAAGAATCGACAGTATATGCAGAGCTTAGCGAAAAGTCTATGGCTGCCGCGGGAAAAATGTATGTCTGTACCGCGAATGTTTACCGGGCAAAATAACTGACAGTCGGATAGCCGCATTTGGCATACGCGATTATCAACTAATCCGTTTCGCGCGCCGAGATATATATTATAATAAGATGTATAAAATTACTGTCATTTTTTTCAAATCTTAAAATTCGAAAACGCACTATAACACTGATGTTACTCATATAATAACAATATTTAGGCACTTTAGATGAATTAAACGTAATGTTTACAAGCAGGGCTCGCACTGTATAGCAATAAAAATTACCGAATGCACTAAAACCAAAATCTAAGAAATAAGCAAAACAAAAAACATTTTCTTATGATGACTTTTTCATTGTTAACAATTTAAAATAATTTACATTAAATAATTATTTAAAAGTTAGTAAATTAAAAAAAAAAATATCGAAGTAAGAAAAAAAAGTTTTGTATATTCTATAACTAACAGCATTTATTTAATAATAATATATAATTATTTATCACATAACTTTACTCAAAAATTTAAATTTAAATTTGAAGATTCGTAAAAAACATGAAATACATCAAATACAACGCAAACAGGCAAAATATAGAACCAAAACAGGAAAAAGAGTATTGTAAATGTAAAATTCTAAAAATATACGAAAACATGCAGTATAAAAATTTAGGTTTGAAATCTTTGTTACAAATTAGTAGCTCTTTTTATCAGTATCCTAAAATAAATCAAATACTATAGAACTCGATTTTTCAAAAAATAAATAGTAAATATGGTGAAAAAAATCGATTTTTTTTAATCAGCTCCTAAAAATAAGAAAACGTACAAGAATACTGATATGATACTGTGCTTTATATTGTAGTATATAAATACCGGTGATGTTTAAAACGTCACAATTATAAGTGAGAGAAAAATCGAAGAACGACGGTAGAAATTGGAAATCAATCTATAGCTCCAAATCCCAGTCGCAGCGACAATATATAAAATAATAATACTGGAATATTCACCTTTTCCTGGTTGAAGATTATCAAATACGTTGTACTCGCGGGTGAAAACGCCGGTGCACATGACCAAGACTAACGCGACGGTTATCATCATATGTTGTAGAATGGCATCGGTGTTTTTTGAAGACGTCATGATGTCGTACTGAAGTCGAAGTTTTCTGCGGTTTTGTACTTAATAGGTCGGTGCTGATCGAAGTATTTCTCTTGATCGAGTGTGTTTGAATCGTGGTCACCGGTCCCTCTTATATATAAATACGGTGCGTATGTGTGCGTATGTATGGGCGCGCACGTGTGTGTGTGTGTGTGTGTGTATTAGTGTATTAATGTGAGTGAACGCGAGTGGGTACAACGATTATGTATATACGCATGTGTTTGTGTAAACAAGCTCTAACGCTCGCCTTTGGTAAATGGTAGGGCGTTGTTAATTGCTATTCGGTCTTTGTACGTCCGATAAGAGACAGAGAGAGTGAACCGGAGTGAGTTGGAGAGACAGAGAGTGAGAGTCGTAACGACGCGTACGGATTGAATAATATTATTATTATTATTATGATTATTATTATTGTTAATGCTTTGATAAACGGACATCGTAATGCTGTTATAATCTCGTCGTCCCAGGTAGTAGTGGTTATTTACCTTATTTTGTATTATCTATCGTTTTTTTTTTTTCTTACCGCACGTATATGCAACGCTGGAATCCGGGTCCAAAGGTGAACACCATAACGCACGTCTCCGTTACCGACGAAATCGATAAACAAAAATATGTAACATTGTAATGCGATTTACCTCCAATTATTAACATATTATCGTTCATTATTTAACATATTTCCGTCTAAGGAGTGGACGTGCTGCACACGGGCTTTTGATAATACATATTATTTAATTCCAATCGTTGAATATCGATTTAGTTTCGATACGAATTATTGTAACACTAACCGAATTCCTTATTACGCTGCCCTTCACCAGCAGTGCCAAGGTGACCGAATCGTCGTAATATTATTATCAAACCGGAATGGTCGCGTGACCCCACACGAAGGTCCGTTTTTTTTTAATATTACAAAACAGATTTTTTTTTTCGGTTAAAATATTTTCTTCTCACGAATGGTAATTGTTTTATTTAACACGATGTTAATTAACATTTAAATATAAATATACACGTACAAGAAAAAAAGAAATAAATACAATTTATACGGTAAACACGTCCAAGTCCTTTTTGGTTTCTGACACGCGCCTATCCGTCTCTTTTGGGAAATACATCACCGAGTAAACGCGTTCATCACTATTATTTATTCGTATATATATATATACGTATGTTTATGTGTGTGTATGTGTGTAAGTGACAAGAACGGATTTTTATTATTATTTATTACTATGTATAAATGTAATCTATTGTAGTATATATAATGTATATAATGGATTCCTACACTGAGCTATAGTTACATGGCTATAGTTCATATGAGGGGATTTTGTAGTATATTGACAAAATAATACTTATTTGAAATTATTAATGTATCACATAGAGTATAAAATATTGTTACCAATTTATATAATTAATTTAATATAATCCGTAGCTTGTTGCATGCGCCAATTCGTTAAATTAATTTTGAATGCATATTGCAGTCCGAAAAATCATGTAGTTCTATAGGTAAAACCGGTACCGTTTAAAAAATAACATTTCATTGAACTTAAAATAAATTAAACAGTACGAAAATCGATTCGTTGTTACAAAAACATAAAAAAAAATTATTCCGGTGGCGGAGTTAAATAATAGTGGTTAAATAATTACAATAATAATAATACGATGTCCTAAAACATGGCCATTGGAAAAACTATAAAATACATTGCACGATCCAAGGGTCGAAGGCCATAGGTTTCCTAAGCTTGAACTAGGCTCATTGATAAGTCGTTCGCCAGACATCTTACGCCCTGTTAAATTAGTGCAGAATTACGAACGGTGTATTATTTTATACGGTGTTTTTAGCGACCACGGTCCGTGATTGTGTTCCAGATGAACAATTCACAAATAAAACCTGGCTAGACCTAGCGAACCCACAGAATCACAAAGCCGACGACGATAACAGATGAACGGAATTATTGCGCCACGTCGCGAGACAGGACTTATTCGAAAATAGTCGAAGGAATTCACTAGAATAGGTCCTTGTTCTGCGGGATAATAATATGTACGGGCGTGGACCGATTCAAGATAATAAGTATAAATGCTCCGGCATTCCGGTTAAATGGCTACACTTAATTTACAAGAACTTCTTAAGTAATCAAAAATCTATTATCTACGTAAGGGTGTCCGCATTCAACTACGCTAAACGTGCATTCACAAACAATCAATTATTACTATTGTTGCATCGCAGAATTGTTAAGCCTTAGGCTAATTTTACCGTACATAGGTATTTTGGATCGAATTGGCTTAGTACTTTTCTAAAAAAAAATTTTTTTTTCTAAATAAAATATTATAAAATAAAATATTGTAACCCTAAAATATTTATTTTTTTTTTAAACTTGCCCCAAGGACTGTTGTTGTTTGCCTTTGATTTATGAACGGTCCCTCGCCTGCAGAACGTAATATTATACACATGTATTTAATAAAATACGCGTTTCTGCGAGTCGTTCCAAAGTTTGTATTACAGTCGGGCATCGTTGAGTATTCGAACGCATGCATCCGACGGTAAATCGTATCAAAAACGTTCGATCGGAACGGAAATATTTCGGAACGACCGTGCGCAGTCGACGGAAATGCATAGGTATTACGGGGTAAAAATAAACATAAAACCATCCCCCGAAACGTGTTATACGTGCGCACAACGCAATTTGTTGCGAATTTGTTTTCCGTGCGGCTGGGTTCGGCACACAGTACCGCACAGTACCGTGGTTATTATACCGGTACTCAGCTACACGGAATAATCATGCATAAATATATAATAATAATAATAATATGTCTGTAACGCAATATCGCGTACCGTGTACGCACCACGTAGACGTACAACGATAATATTTTTACGAATATTTTATCCATACGCGTTTCCTAACGCGCGCATAATCTATATAACATAACACGTGGTTGGCATATATTTCATAAAAACATACGTTTATGTACCATGTACGTGTACGTGTACGTGTGTGTGTGTGTGTGTGTGTACGTGTGGTGCGTGTGTGTGTGTGTGAGTGTGTAAATCAATGATATAAAATAAACCAAACGCTTTGGTCTTCATTATTCTCAATTTATATTTTATCATCATTATAACTATTCGGTGTCATTATTTTTTATCGCATCGTTATTACTATTTATTAATATTTTATTAATACCAGTAAATGATATCCAACATCCGGAACGGATAGGAACTTATAAGAGAAGATTTTCAGTACGCGGGTGCACGAAATACGACTGTGCATCTTTGGTCGCCACCGCGCAGTATTATAATATCGTATAGTGTTACGATAATAATAAATAATAACTAATGCGCAGACGAATATATGAAATGAACATATGAATATGTAACATATTATGTATGTAACACGTGCGTCTACCACTTCGTTGTCTTGGCCAATAATGTAAATGGTCACCTGTGTAATGTATTACTATAGTAATGTATTACTCGTGTATATTAACTTTTTATAAGTAGCGTTGCCGACGTTTTCGTGTGGTTATTATTATTATTATTTTTGTTATTACGTATGTCGTTCCCTATGTTCTATGACCTCGGGAGTTTATGTTCAATGCAAAGGAAAACTGTACAACGAGTCCAAAATTATAATAATAATAATAATATTTTTTACTAAAATAATTTCTAGAATAAATCCTGAACTTATATTTATTTTCAGGTTCTTTATTATTTTTTTTTTTTTATATAATAATCTTGTTTAAAAATATAGGTTTAACAATTTAAGGATTTCAAACCAATTCGATAAAAGATTAATTACTTACACACAAATTTTAGATCAAAATAAAAATGAAATAAAAGTTACAAATAAAAGTGAAAATTGGGAATGAAACAGGACTAAAAAAAGGAAACTAGCCGGAACCGCTGAATCTATGGTTATACAATTTAGCCAGTATTCTTGTTTCATGATATACTGACTCCCTAAGAATGTATTTCCCAAAACTAAACCCCTAAAAGTGTTAAAAGGTATTTAACATTGAAAATTTAATTTCTCAGTTATATTTTCAGAAAGAGAGTTATATAGGGTTTCAACATTATATTTGGTTGAATCCGAGCCTTTTCCGCTGAAACATTATTAATAAGGACATCATAGTTTTATAATATAGAGTAAGTTATAATTTAATGGGCAACATTTTATTTTATTATTTCTCTAATTAGAATTTTATTTTACAATTTGTATTCGAAATACTAAAATATACTAATTTCTGTCCAATTTCTTGTTGTTACAATACACTGGTAATCTAGGGTCAACACATCTAAAAGTAACCTGTAATATATAACTGATAAAATAAAAAGTTATACGTAGGTAACACAAAACACTGCACACAGGCAAAGCCAGGTTTTTCAGATAGTGTATATATATGATTAAAAAATAAATCATTAAATAAATATAAATTATAATATTATAAATTTAAAAACAGAAAATACCGTAATATGCCATCGTCGTCGTTATTTTTCGATGCTTAAATGTTTTTATTAAACATGATTAGATAAGTTGAATTAGTTGAATTAAACTTTTAATTTAATTTATTTATTTGAGTTAATATACAGCTAATAAATTTTAATTATAAATAGTCTGGACGAAAATATTCGAATGAAATTGTAGAACTGTGGTCCTTTTTTGAACTCATTGACTAGATTCACAAATTAAAAATGATCCACAGGCTATACAATACAAATGATTGATGTGGTATTCAGTTATATTTCCTCGTTTTGAAATATGATGCGGGACGTACAAAAGAGTCGTGTGGACCGGTTGCGGGCCACAGGCTGTTGATTGCCGACCACTGTTGTAGATTGTCTCCCGCTGTCTCGCGTTTTATTGTTTTCGATGTAACTAGGGAACCGAAATGTATGTATTTATTCTTCAACTTATAAAGGTTTTCTGGGAGGACCAAACGTTTAGTTCGATTTAAAAATGTTTTCGAAGTATCGATGTTCAAATTATCGAAAATCTACTTTGGGTATACTAATATTGTACGTTGTGAAAACTCGACTTTAATCGTAAGCGGTTTTCGTTCGTTTCAGCACGATCATGTACACTAAAAAAAGCTTCTACTGTACGCGTCAGATCCTATATGATAATGG